GTCTGCCTCGCTGTATACCTCGTGGAAGTCACCACGTTGCTTCAATTTGTTGAAGCTCGTAATGGATATCTTCGAAACCGACGGTCGAACTGTCGTGTGAGACTAGACTTACGATGCATCTATGGCACTCTCCTCTTCCCCATTTGGGCGTGTCGTCATTACCAAGTCCGAGTTTCCCGACGGCTGCTAGCCTTCAAACTCACAGCGTTTAGCGCATCGTGATAGCTTCAAGCACGTCAGAGGGCTTTTGGCGAGAAAAATACCCTGAGCCCTCGACTTCATTCTTTTTTCCCCATCCTCAGGTCCCGACCCATCGTCCGAGGCGGTCAGGTGGCTGGCGTGGACAGATGGAGCAACTGCTAACATTCCTACTGACCTCGCCTGCGCTTTTAGAACCCAATGATTATGCCAGTTCGACCATCGGTTTCGATGGTGTCCACAACGTGCTTCAGTAAGCTGAAGGCAAATGTGTTTACTTGCATGTGGATTAGTTTTAGGTGATAGTAAACTTGCGCAGGATCTACCGCACTCTATCTTCCCTCACCCAGCTGTGCCCAGTCTTAAAACAGAGTCAAGAAGACCGGAGGTGGGATCGGGCGTAGTGGCTGACAGAGCCGGTGAACCCGTCTGCGTGCGCGCCATAGCACAATCTGGCTTCTTTGATACACACACACCAGGATTTACACAACCAGGGGAATTAGAAGGAGCCATCGCCGTCTGACTCTCTGTCCGCCCATTAAACCCTACTAACACAACACATAGTGGGCGGATAGTGTGTCTGGTAAATGCGTCAGCTAGCTGCCCATTGATTATACATGTATATACAGGATGTCCCACAAAAGGTATACATATTTTAAATAATTGTAAACTTGGTGTTAACTATTATTTTATTATTTCAAAAATGAAAACAATATTAACACTATCATTTTATTGTTTTTTCTTAAATTCGTTTTGACTATTGCAAAAGCAGCTGAGTTGAGAGAAGCCACTGAGAACATGCCGTGAAAAAAAAACAATAAAATTATACTTGGAAATATTTTTACATTTTTGAAATGCTAAAATTATGATAAACACCAATTTTACAATTATGCAAAATGTGTATACATTTTTTGGGACACTCTGTATCCTGTATGGAAGGAGGAGACATTTCCCACCCCTACTTCCGCGCATACATACACATGTTTAATTGGTGTATGCTCGATTAACGACCCCATATAAATAGGAAATCGTCTCTTCAATCTTTCTTTCTTCCATTCTTTCCCCATCACCAATTGTAGCTTGGTGACCGCTTGCGGCGGCTGTACACTGGAGTCCCAAGAAAAAGCAAACGATAATTT